AAAAGAAAGTTACTCAAAAATAGTTGCTCAGGATTCATCAAGTATTCTCAGCTGTAAAATTGATTCTACATCATAAGACCAAAAGAAGAGTCCTTTTTAAAAGGATACTTAATCCAAAGTCAACTCTAACTTAGAGTACATGGCAAATTAAGTCCCTAATGTGAAGATAAAAGATGGAAGACAAACTTAAAAGTAGCTCTAACTATGCCATTTTTACCCAGAAAGAATACAGTATCCTCCATCTCTACCCAATAACTGCCTTGCTTACTTCCCCTGCTTTATTGCTCCCTAGCACTTATTACATGTGACATATTATATTTGCTTGTTTATTCGATCATGGCTCAACTTCCCTCACTGGAATGTAAGTTCCATGAGGGCTCAGACCTGGTCTCTGAATTCACTGATGTATGCCCAAGGCCTGGAACAGTTCCTGTCACATAATTGGTTCACAGTACATATTTTCTCAATAGATGAGAGAATGAATAAAATAAATTTGGGCAAAGAGAGGAGCAGTCACATGATGTGGATAAGAGAGTAGAATATGTGGCTGCCTTTTGCCTAAAAGAGTTGCCCCTATGTCCACTAGCCATCAAGAATATCTCTATCACCTCATACCAATCAGAATGGCCATCATCAAAAAATCTACAAACAATAAACGCTGGAGAGGGTGTGGAGAAAAGAGACCCCCCCAAACAATGTCGGTGGGAATGTAAATTGGTACAGCCGCTATGGAGAACAGTATGGAAGTTTGTAAAAAATTTAAAAATAGAACTACTATATGATCTAGAAATGTCACTTCTGGGTATTTATCCAAATAATTCAAAACACTAACTCAAAAAGATATATGCACCGCGATGTTCATCACAGCATTGTTTATGTTAGCCAAGGTATGGAAGCAACCTCAGTGCCCATCAATGGATGAGTGGATAAAGAAGATGTGGCATATATATATATATATATATATATATATATATATATATATATAACTTGCCAGTTCCTCTTCCACGTCTTCTCTCCTGTGAGCATGGGGAAAGAAGCAGAAAGTGAAGTGATTCAGATCACTAATTGCAGGACTCAAATCTCAGCACCATCACACGTGGCCTTGTCAAGTTACTCCATCCCCGTGTCTTCATTTTCTCATCAGTAAAACAGGTATAATGATAGTATCATCCTCAAGAAGTGGTTGCAAAAAGTGGACATGTTCTCCTCACACGCTGTTGGTGAGAATGTAAATTGGTGCAGCCACTGTGGAAAACAGTATGGAGATTTCTCAAAAAACTAAAAATAGAACTACCATATGACCCAGCAATTCTACTCCTGGGTGTATATGGAAAAAAATGAAAATACTAATTTGAAAAGGTACATGCACCCCAATGTTCATAGCAGCATTATTTACAATTGCCAAGATATGGAAGCAACCTAAGCATTGTCCATCAACAGATGAATGGATAAAAAAGATGTGGCATATATATATATATATATATATATATATATATATATATATAGACATACATATACACACACAGACACACAGACACACACACACACACACTGGAATATTAGCCATAAAAAAGAATGAAATCTTGCCATTTGCAACAATGTGGATGGACCTTAAGAGTATTATGCTAAGTGAAATAAGTCAGACAGAGAAGGCAAATACCATATGATTTCATTCATATGTGGCATATAAAAAAACAAACAAACAAAAATAAACAAAACAAAACATGTAGATACAGAGAACAGAGTACAGGTATCAGAGGGGGAGGGGCAGGCGGCGAAATGGGTAAAGGGGTCAACTGTATGGTGATGGATGGAAACTAAACTTTTGGTGGTGAGCACCCTGTAGTGTATACAGAAGTAGAAATATAATGTTGTACACATGAAACATATAATGTTATAAACAAGTGTTACCTTTAGAAAATAAATTTTTTAAAAAAGAATCTCTCTTCCTTCTCTGGTCTGATTCCATCATCACCAAGAAACCTTTGATTTAAATCTTTCTGTGTGCATTTTCCTACAGATGGGATCACAATTTTGGTTTACTTGGCACAATATTTTTCCCTGTAAATTAATAGGTTGGCATTTTGTCTTTTAAAATTGGTTCACATCACACCTAAAAGAATTCTGAGAAGGATCTCAACCAGGATGAAAACCTGTGGTGAAAAGAGCAAAGACTGGCACACGGGGCAATTGGGTTCTAGTGCTAACTCTCTTTTTGACTCACCTGTGTGGCCTTGAAAAATTTCACTTTTCTCGGGCTTCCCTGGTGATGCAGTGGTTGAGAGTCCGCCTGCCGATGCAGGGGACATGTGTTCGTGCCCCGGTTCGGGAAGCTCCCACATGCCGCGGAGCGGCTAGGCCCGTGAGCCATGGCCGCTGAGCCTGCGCATCCGGAGCCTGTGCTCCGCAGCGGGAGAGGACACAACAGTGAGAGGCCCGCGTACCG